AATCTTGGCTGTTATCTGTTGCACGCTAATGTGTTCAATGACAGGAAAGAATTGCATTAAGCATTCACAAATGGCTCTAATTTTTCTGAGAGATAAACAGCTAACTATGAATATAGAGTCAGTAGACATAATACATATGGTGGTGTCTCATCTTAAATGCAGCACAGCCTTTAAATGTACACACGCTTCTAGAGGGTACACACCCACACAGGGTAAAAACAATGCTGAATAATGCTTACATCAGTGGGAAGGTGAAAAGGGATGAAAAGTAGTGGTATCTAATGTTAATCTGTGTGTTGAAAGAGCTGTCAATCAATGTGGGGTTTCATCAGGAATTGAGCCTTTAGGATTTATTCTAAATAGTAGAGAAACCCACATTACCACGTGTTGTAGCTTTTACAACACAAACACACCTAATTATGCTAAATAAGGCACATATTTAGGAGTTGCTTAAAGCAATATAGATAAGTTGCATTTTTGTCTAATTTAGCAAACATTTCCTGAATAATTTATCAAGCAAATTCGTATAACTTTCAAACACAGTTACCTCCAGAAAAAGCGTACGTTTTTGGGTTTGTATTCAGTAAACGTTTTTGTACTGTACTGTACATCTCTAGAGACATAAACAGGCAATACTGAACATGTTGTACACTGCATTAAACTGATTGCTAAAGCTCTGCATCAAAGAGTTTCACGTAAGTGATTTCAGTTCAGGAGGCATTTCAAAGGTCAGAAAAGAGGTTCCACACGTCAGCACTAAGCTCAAAAACAGTCCGTTGGTTCGGTCCTACATACAAGATTTGGAGCTGTCTGTGCTGACCTCTCAGCCTCGGGTGAGTTGAGGCTAGCTGAGGAATACTAATGAGAGAATTAATAGAGGTGGGTTTCATGTGAATAGTTAAAATATAATTTGAGAATAACAACACAAGTTCTTGTTCCAGTGTTCACAGTGCTACTTTATTTACTATGTCTTGGTGTTACGTACAATATTATGTACCATATTCTTTGATAAAACTTGAAAAAGATCACTGCAGCAATGTTTATGTTGCATTGGATGTGTTTTCTGTTTTCTCTTAACACTGACTGCTAAACAGTAAAGCTGCAGGTCAGGACATCCTAACTGGACTGTTAGCAGCCAGTGGCTTGTTTATCTCTGCTGTGCCTCAGTGCCCTCTCATTTCATCCTCTGTTTCATCTTTAGGTGCCTTAGGTTTGTAATTCAGCAAAGACAGCTTAGTTATTGCTCTGGAACAGGAGGTCACGACAGCAAGGCAGTGAGCAACCTTGTAAAATGTTGACGGGGTGTAAAATCCTAGGGAACAGCTTATGCAAAGTTTTGGAGTGAACGGGGTACTGTAAGCTTTTGCCTGTCATGACAGAGAAGAGGAGGAAGATCAATGTGGATAGATTTCCTGCTGGAGATGGGATCTGATGAGCTGAGATGTGGGTGTGCATACAAGTCAGTTATGTATCTGTCAGCTTGTTTTTAAGCGTATTTGCTTGTGTGCACACATGTAGGTATTGAGGTCTGCACACTATTCTCATTAACATGCCTTCTCTGCATCAGGTCCATAACAAATATTGTTTTGTTTGATATGGGTTTTCCATGCTTCCCTCCCACATCAGTGTCAGTCAGTGTACACCGATCAGCCGTAACATTATGACCACTGACTGGT